GCTAGATATTACACGCGAGTCTACGGTAGTGGCCGTGGCCAGTTCCCATTGAGTCGTGTGTAATTTCAAGCCGCAGCCAAGTGATTGGGACGCAGCCCCTCTCTTTTGGTTCATACTAGTTTTGTTGGGATGCTCAAGCCTACTGCAATGGGCAAAGTTGAATATCCTTGCCTGAAATTTCATGCATGCACATTTAAAGACTACACAAATGTATCATGCCAACATGATGTCCAAAAATGTTTAACAAAACCCACTGAAATCAAGTTCCTGCAGAATGTGTAGAATGTACATATACATCCCCCTCCCCTGCTATTAAAATTTCATGAAAAACACCCATGAGAACTACCACAGCAGTGTGCAAGTATGTGTCAACCTGAAAGTACACAGCACACAACTGCTTCCCAAGTCATTGCTATATAAAATGACCAAGGTTCGGGTCAAGTGCGGCTATCTTGATTACCCAGCACCTCCAACACCCCCCCCCTTCCCACACACACCCACGTACATACAACAATGTACTAACCACATCCACCTCTAACTTAGATCCTGATGTAACAGTCGGACTTTGGGCCGACCAATAAATGAGCTGGTGATCCCTCTGCCTGTACGATATCTGGTGATCCCGCGGTGACCTCACCTCATCTGTGCTCATAACGAAATACTAAACAGCAAACAAACAAACAAACCAAACCCTCCTGACCACTGCCGAGGTCCCCCGCAGGTCCTCCAATGCCAGCCAACAGTACACCATATGGCAATCCTGAATGCTTGTACGGAAGCTAGTTGAGTCCCTCACATCACTACCCCGAGCCTCGTCCCCCAGGTTAATGTTCAGGCCTATTATCATAAATATGTATGTCACAAGTACCTGTACACCCTGCCCCTCCCTTTCACATCTAGGTACCGGTAGGAATGTTCCATTACCGAGGGCAAGGAAACTACGTGTACTTCGCGCTACAGTTGTTGTGCTCAATGAATACAATGGAATAACGCTTGCACAGTTATCTGGGGTATGAACCTAATTCAACCCCCCCCCTCCACTCGTCCATTGTCATGCCACATACTGTACGCATGTGGCATGACATGAACTGTACGCATGCATGAATGATCACCTGTATCATATGCTGGGGCATGGATACAATGGGCACCGATGTTTTCTGCATAATGTTAAAGCGGCAAAACAGCTGCAGCCTTCATGTATCTGTCGCAACACAACAGCCAAGACAAAGAAAGGCCCTGCTGCAGGTATCGGGAAACGTCTACATGTCCATACAACACCAGTGCAAGCCACATTTTTCGAATCATTCACATGTATTTTTCAAACATCTCCTGCCACATGTCATATCGCACAGCACAGGAATGCAAACTTGTTTTTTCCATGCGAAAAATTCTTCAGAAAACTGAAATCAAAATATAAAAGCAGCCCAGACAATTTCTAATGCAAAGCACTGTCAAAAAAACACTTGGTTAAAGTTCCTACGATGTCGACAGTGACGTGATAACAAAGAAACAGTGAAAGTTTTCCAATAAAATTGGGTACCAAATAACTATTTTGGGCAACTTGTTTGTGATTTTTAAGTATAAATCCGATGTCGTCATACTCAACTAATCGATTACCCACTTCCCCTGGCCTTTTCATTCTGTCCAAAAATAATCCAATTCATACATGTTTATATATCAGTCAATCACACACACATTTATTTCCTCCCGTGGCAGAAATAATACTAATAAGACAAGTTTAAAAGACATATATATGCCAGAAGAGGTGGCAACACCTTAAAAGCAAAGCTTGTGTTAGGCATGCCCTCAAACAAAATATACATACATATTAATATAAGAAACAACAAATAATTGTAGCTCTAAGCAATTATAGAGTAATTGTTGAAGATGGACTATGAAAAGAAAAGGTTCAGTTAATTATACCGTTTATATACTGGTATACATGTACAGATATCACATCGAAATGAACAATCACAGTGTCATCCTATGCAAGCAAGCTTGGTTCACGTTTGCTTGACCGTCTATTCTGAATGTGTCATTTCAGTGCTTGTCAGAACTCCTGGCAGCCCCCTCTCCGCATCTCCAGAGTGTTCAAATGGCAAAGAATTGGATATGCACACTGTGAAATTACTGGCTACCGAACTGGACAACATTCAGTCTATCTGTACCAAAGGAATGACTGAGAAGTTGCTGCTCCTTTTAACCACAACCAGTCCCATTAATACATCGCTTGATACCGATACCGTAACATAGGTACAAAAACTTGGCACCAGTTGTGAGAGGATTCCAGAAAATGAATAAGCCTTTTGGGAGTTAAATTTGACAAAAGTCTGGTACACTTTAAATTCATGTGAACATAACAATTTGAATTCTCCACTGTTGCTATTCCCTGTGATTCGGGGGAAGCTTTTGCTTAGTTACATAAGAGATGCCTTGCAACAATACACTGTTCTCAATGGATAAGGAGGGCACAAAGGAACCAGTCCATTCCAGAGATGGTGGTCGCTGTGCAAAAGCTTGCCCTGAATCACGAGGTATAACAACTGGGTCTTTAGTCCGGGGAATTCAAATTATTATGTTTATGTGCAATCAGATAAATCAGTGTACCAGATTTTATTCACATTAAACTCGCAAATAGCTAGTATGTGAAGTGCCACCCCCAATCTGTTTTAGGCCGTTTTCCAATACTCAACTTCGGCTCCGTCTCAGGCTTCACCTGTTTTTTCACTAGCTGACTTTGAAGCTGTAAGCGCAGTAATCAGTCTAATAGTGCCACAAAACATCAAATAAGATGCAAAAAAGCCCAAATCACAGCAATCCAATTTAATTTAAATGCTTCAGGCCCACAATCGGGGATTGGTTTTCGGAACGAAGCCGGAGCCCAAGTCGAGTATTGGAAAAGGGCTTCAATTTGTATTGGATAGACCAACTGAGCCCTTTGTTACTTGATTTATCACTAAGTCTGGCTTCCTGATGAAAGTGGGCTTATATGCAGCATGGGTTACAAAAGGGTTCTGATTTATCTGCATTGTGCAAGATTCTTTGCAAAACCTGCCAATCAAAAGGGGATCTGGGCACTTGAGCCCGCTTTGGTTAGGCTGGGTCACATGAGCATTGTCTAAGAAGGTGAAAATAGCTGATACTTTCAATCAGCACACAACAGCTCAGAGAGAATACGTGATGATTTTGTTTGTGTCTCATTTCAGTCTCCTGGGCCAAGTTTGAGCGACGACTATAGTTGACTACAGATCGGCTATGACTGCCGGAACGATGGCTGGTTTGGACTATCTAGTCGACAATTTTGGACCAGGCTCCAGGGCACGGTCTCAACGCTGGTTATCAATAACCAATTTCACTTACCGGTATCATTACGGAGGGAACCATTCACACGAAAATAACTGTACGAGCTTTCAATGGCCACGTACGCTGCGAGAATCGCAGCCAACAGGGAAATGTGGGTAATGAGGAGATTTGAAAAAATAGGCCGACTAGGGTTGTGCGATTGTGACTGAATTGCACTTGCACACTGTTAAAAGCAACTGACCACTGGTCAAACTATAGTTCACACCCGAACTTGCCCCTGGGTGCATAACAAAGAATGAAGTTGGTTTCATCCCAAAGTCCCTTTTTTCCCCAGCAAATCTGAGATGAAAACCATCCGTCCTCCCAAGTTTTCGGGTCAGCATTCAGTCGGGAGGGTACACTGGGACTATAAGTAGAGACAATGCAGCAAAAGGGCGAAAAAAAATCATGTGTTACTGCTTGATTGAAGACTACACGCCCATCACTGG